GGCCCGATGCACGAAATTTGTGCAAGGGGCTTGGCCCCCGGCTGCCTCTGCCTCCGTCCCCACCTGCCATGGTGGCCGCCTCAGCCCTTGCAGCCCCAGCTTCGTCCGGAAGGTTGTCCGGAAGGATGTCCGGAAGGACGTTCAGTCTAATTAGCATATTACTCTTTTATTATTATAGGTACCCGAGACCCCAAGTTTTCATTCATACACAGCATGTTGGGGAGAAGAGTGGGATCTGTGAGTCCATGTCAGGAGGGGAGCGATTTGAAAAAGGAGAGAGGAGGGGGGTGAACGCAATGTGAAAGGGGAGAGGACAGCAGCGCCCCCAGCCTCCACCCCCACCTCGGGACCACCCAGGGGACATCTGAGGGCAGCGGGAAGCGGCTCTGAGCTCACCTGGGAGGCTCCCCGGCAGTGATCCCTCCAGCCAGTCCCTGCCAGACTTGTGGGCTAACCGTGTCAAACTGAGAGGAGAAACAGCAGCTGAGAGAACACTCCGTGTCAGAACAAACAGCTGGTGACAAACGCCTATGTAATTGGAATGCCAGAAAAAATAAACTGCATCCATTTTTATGACAAGAAGGAAATTTGATGGTGATTTCCCACCCACCCCCCTTTTTCCCAGCATCGATGGACTCTGTGGGCTTTGAAAGCAAATGGTATTTAACTCAATAACTTGGCCGGTGGACTAGGAAACACAACCTCCTCTCACCCAGCGCACTTCCATTGGGGGGCGGCGCGGGGGAGGGGGGGCAGGCCAGGAAGCGGCGAGAGCCCGGACACACCTCTCTCACTGGCTGGTGACCCTGGGCCAGTTCCTGGGCCGGCGCCGGGCCTTCATTCTCTGTGCGGTGGGCACGCCAGCACCTAGGCTGCCGGGCTGGCAGGAGGGGTCAGTGAGGTGAGTGTCGGAAGCAGTAAGCACCACGCCTGGCACGGAACCCAGGCTCTGAGAGCATCGGGTGTGCTCAGTGTTCCGGAGCGCGTGGCACTGGGTCCCCACAGTCTCTGCGAGGGGACTCTGCTATCCGTGTGCAATGCCTGTGACGGGGCAGAGGGGCAAGTGAGTAACACATTTCGTCATGAAGACAGCACAAGGGGCTGGGGAGACCTCGGGCTCAGAAGTCTACCTGGAAAGGGCCTTAGAAATCACTTCCAGCAACAACTCACCTGACAGAAGGGGAGACGGAGGAGGCCCTGAGGAGGGTGACTATGTACACGCAGGTGGGGACGGAGCCAGGACAGGGGGCGCTCTGGGGGCACAAGAGGCCCTGCACACGGAGGGGGCGGGTGCTCTGGAGACCCGGCTCGCCCACTCAGGGGCTCGGGAACGGCCCTCTGGAGGCCTGGGCTCAGCCACCCAGACAGTAAGCAGCCCTTCGGAACACTCGGATCCCACGGACACCCAGCCCCACTCCAACCTGCCATCTCAGCCAGTTCCCAGGCCTGAAACTACAGACGTCGGCACCCGAGACATTCTTCCCAAGAGGAGCCAGGCCACTCTCAGACTTGCCACCAGCACAAAAGGCCTCCCCCGCCCAGAGGTCGGCGGGAAGAGGAAGGCAGGGGCGGCGGGAGCTGCCTGGCATCGGGCCTCCTCTGGCTCCGGGTCGCCCACAGCGTGAGGGGCATCCTCAGGCCCCGCAGAGCCCGCCTTCCCGCCGGTGCCGGTGCCGGCTACAGTCACATGGCCCGGGGACCCTAATCACTGTCCAGGCCTCTGCCCAAGCCCTTCATTCAAGGCATCGGGATTCCTCTTCTCTCTCCCCATCTCCAACCCTGGGCCTGAGAGCAACTTGAGTGCAGGAACTTACTGGCCTAAACTATGCCATCCGTGCTAGTAGCTGTCATTGTTGTTGTTAATACTCAGTGGCTTAACATCTCTGGAAGGGGGTGCCCTGGATTGTTGGGAGAGATTGAGGGAGACAGAGAAAGAGAAACATCAATGCGAGAAAGAAGCATCAATAGGTTGCCTCCCCCAGGCTCCTGGACCCGGGATCAAACCCAAAACCTGGGCATGTGCTCTGACCAGGAATGGAACCCGTCACCTTCTGGTGCGTGGGAGAATGCTCCCCCAACTAAGTCACACAGGCCAGGACCCCTCCTCCTCTCTGTCTCCTCCTCCTCCTTCCCCTCACCACCTCTCCCCCCCCTCCTCCTCTTCCTCCCCCTCCTCCTCTTCCTCCTCCTCCTCCTCCTCGTCCTCTTTCTTCTCCTCCTCCTTTTCCTCCTCCCCCTGCTAGTCTTCCTCCTCTTCCTCCTCCTTCTCTTCTTTCTTCTCCTCCTTCTTTTTCCTCCTCCCCCTGCTACTTTTCCTCCTCTTCCCCCTCCTCCTCCTCCTCCTCCTCTTACTCCTCCTCCTCCTCCTGCTTCTCCTCCTCCTCAGCTTCCAGGAGTTGCTGCTTTAAAAACAGGAGCTGCAGAAACATGGCCCAGAGCCAGGTGCTTAAAGTGCATTATCTCTGGCTGCAGTCGGAGTCAGAACTGAGCTCTCCAGGGCCCTTCAACTCCTCCCGCCTGTCTCTCTACTGGGCGGCCTCTGACATGGGCCTCTGCACTCCTGGGGCTTCCCAACCGGGCTCTGAACCCCCAAAAGCACATCCTGCGAGGACCAAAGATGAAAGACTCACCGGCCAAGGGACGCGGTCCCCCACCCCGTAGGAAAGGTAAAAGGGTGCGCCTGGGCCTTGGGGGCGAGCCGGGTTCACTGTAAATCCCATTCTTAACACGACTGGAGGGACGGCAACGGTCAGAACTGCAAGGGACCGCAGAGGACCTGAGCGCCACCTCTCCCGGAGGCCGCCTGGAAAGGACCGCCCAGCCTCTCGGGGCACGTTAGCTGTGAGGGAGCGTCCTCAAGTCTCCACCAACCGCATCAGTGACCTTCACCATCCAGCTGCCATTTACCCAGGACTTCGTGTGAGCCCGTCACTTACACTGACGCGTCTTCCAGTTTCTTCCTATCTTTGCTTTCTATCTCCCTCATGGGGATGTAAGCCAGGCTCCTTCCCATGTCCAAACCCTCAGTGGCTGCAGGCGAGCGGGTAATAGGGGCTTGATCTGAGCCCCAAATCCATACCCTCTGTCTACAGGGACTATGGAGGGTAAAGCCCGCTCTGCCTGTCAGAGTGCCCATGTGCTCAGCATAGAATTCCCCAGTGTGCAACTTGTTGTAGGTGCTCAATAAACATTGAATGAATGAATGAATGAATGAGTGAGTGAGTGAATCTCTAGAGACACCATACCCCTCGGTTTGGTTAACAAAACAGAGGCCTACTCCAGCCACTCAGGTCCACTGGCAGGTCACTGGAGACCGTCCCTGAGGACACCTCGGAACTCACACACCTGCATGGTGACAGAGAGGCAGGAAGGCACAGCAGCAGGAGTGGGGTAGTCCTGTGAGCCCCCCACCTGCTGGGACAGAATGCTGGGCCTGAGAAGCCCTAGGAGGTCCTACAGCTCCGGGACCCTGTCCTGTCCTTCCATCTAAGTCAGTGGTTCTCAACCTTCTGGCCCTTTAAATACAGTTCCTCATGTTGTGACCCAACCATAAAATTATTTTCGTTGCAACTTCATAACTGTAATGTTGCTACTGTTATGAATCGTCATGTAAATATCTGATATGCAGGATGATCTTAGGCGACCCCTGTGAAAGGGTCGTTCGACTGCCAAAGGGGTCGCGACCCACAGGTGGAGAACTGCTGATCTAAGTCCTCTTGGCAGAGGTGCCTGCCCAGGCCCAGCACTTGGGAGACGGCAGCCCCAGGACAGCCTGCCTGGTGAGGGAAGGTGATGCAGAATGCACGACCTCTTGGAGAGTCGGACCGGAAAGGACCTTAGAAACCACTGACCATTTATCATCACTGTCCCTGATTATGGACAAGAAAACTGGGGCTCAAAGTGGTGAAGAAACGGGTCTAAGACGACACAGCTGGCAGGTGGCAAGCCAGGACTTTGAAGTCAGAGCTGTTGGATGCTCTTAACCACAATCTTCCACCTCAGTCTCCCAATCTGGACAATGGGGAGGTTGGACCTGATGGTCTTTAACGTGGCTTAGATTTGAGGTGATTTCAGGGGAAACCAAAAGCTCTTCTCCCCTGGGCATCTTCACCCCACTCTCCCTTCTTTCCTCACCTTCCAGCGTAGGCCTCCTCCCCAGCCCAGGACACTGCTCCAATCTAGGAACAGGGAAAGGAGGGGCTGTGAGGGGAGGCACTGGGGGTGGGGAACAGGAGCAGAGATGGAGAAAGGATGCCTGCCCACTTTGCCCATCCAGCCCTCCAGACTGGCGAGTGCCAGGGGAAGTTCACAGACAGTTTACAAACCTCCTTTGTCACAGGGCGGTGCATGGAGCCATCAATTACGCCCTTAATTTACCCGTGTCACTTTCCAGTGGAAAGCCGCCCTGTGAGCAGCCACTGGCACTTCCTCTCTCACCCACTCGATGAAGATTTCATCTAATTGGTCCATGTTAATCACTCCCAGGAATGCAGTGTGCAATTATCACAGCAGCACGGCCGGCTGCGAGGACATGCCGTGACCCTCCGCGTGTAGGCAGGAGAGTCCATGGAGGGCCCCTAGCTATGGGGCCCAGGGCCCTCTGGGAAACCTGGAGAACCCCCAGGGAAGACCTGCTGGGAAGGGGGAGGGCAGGCCAGGAAGGAAGGAACCATGCTGGGTGCCAGTTACAGCTCCCCACCCGCCCCATGTCTGAAGGCCCAGGGGAGCCAACCACCCTCCTCACGGATATAGACTCTCCCTCTGGCTTCGTGGGGACAGAGTTCCGGAAGGTTTCCATAAACCTTGCTTAGCACTGCCTGGCCCTGGCCCCCACCTGGAAATGCTGGACGCACCGGCCATCTGGGAACACCACTTACACTAAGATGCCCTTTCAAACTCCCTTGGGCAGGAGAGGTACCTGTCCCTCCTCCGCCTGGCCTTCCACAACCCCTAGCACAGGCCTCTGGGACACCCTCACCACACTGCCCTGCCCTTCTCTACTGGCCGGAGGGTCTCACCATCCTGTGAGGTGCGTGGGGACTGGGACCATATGTTTTATCATCTTTATGGTCCTGCCCAGCATACTCAGACTGGGGCTCAGCAAATCCCTCCAGAATGAATGAGTGAGTGAATGAATGAATATCCTCTACCTTAACGCACAGCCTCAGATAACCCACAGGCCAAGTCCGTTTCCCAAAACATGCCCAAGGGTTCTCCGGGCTCTCCTCTGCTCAGGGGATCCCATCCTGATACAACTTCCATCAGGGCCCCGCTGCGGAATCAGCACCAGAGCACAGAGGCTGAAAAGAGCATCAGAGACAAATCGTCCTCATTTCAGTGATAAGCAGACGCAGGCCTGGAGGCCCGGGGTGGTTGCCTAAGGTGCCCAGCAATCCATTACCAGGAGCAGGGTCCCGTGCTAATCCCAAGCCTGTGAGGAGCTCTGAAGCTGGGGCAACCCCAGCAAAGCTTCAAGAGGCGGATCTCACTGGCCCTTGGGACTCCTGGGTGAGTGTGGGCACCCCAAGCTCCTGTCCCCCGGCCCCTGGCCTCTCCCAGAGGCTGCTGCCCACACGGTGGAACATACCTTGCGCTTCTTGGCACGTCCCTCAGCCTGCAGGGTGCGGGTGCAGCGCTGCACACACTCGGAGAAGCTGAGGTTGCTGCGGTCGGCGCTGTAGTCGAGGTCAGCCAGCCGGGCCAGGGACAGGATGTAGTTGCAGGCGATCCTCAGGATGGCCAGTTTGGAGAGCTTCTGCCCGTATGAGTAACACGGCACCTGGTGGGTGAGAAGGCGTCAGGAGGAGCTGCCGGGGCCTCTGCAGAGCACGACCCCGCGGGGCACCCCGGCCAGGCGGGCATGGGGCTGCTCACAGTCACATCTGCACCACCCGAGAGGCGGCTGGACAGCGGAGGTGGCCTGTCGAAGCCGTCGACCCGGGTCTGAGTCTCTGTTCTAAGCAGCCGCACACACACCGCAGCTCACCCACTCACAAACTCGGGGAGTGCACACACTTCCGTTCTGTAGGGCAAGACACTGGGGCTCAGGTCCTGCCCGAGAGCCGGTCTGAATGAAGCACAGTGTGTTCCCACCATGAGAGAGCTCTGTCCCAACCTCCCTGAGGGATCTCTCCGAGAGAACAGACATGAGAACAGACATTTCTTATCAGCTCTGATATTCCTTCCATTCATTCATTCATTCATTCAGTGAGGCCGGTTTTGCTGAGCACTTGAGGTTCTGACAACGAATAATGCGATTCCTACCCTCACAACAGAGTCCGGAACTCTGGGAACATACGAGAAGGAAACGGACAGGGCTCAGCGGAGAGGGCACACACGTGGTGGGCTTTCTTTTTCTTTTCTCCTTTTCTCTGTGCCCTCTGAACCTGAGACGCTGCTGGGCATACAACACGTGCATAATAAATACTTACGGCCCCAACCAGACTGGACACGTTTGTCAGTGACTCACCACCAACTAGACACTCACTAATGGCACAGGGATGTGTACCAGGTGAAGAGATGGAGCCTCTAACTCTTTGACTCTGTCACCAGCGTTTGGGCTGCATGAGCAGACACCTATGAGGCCTGCAGCAAGGCCTGTGTTGTAATGTGGGAAGGTCACCACGAGTCGCCGGACAGGGCGCATCATCAGAGCCACCGCTGCCAGGAGGCGTCCTTCGCCTGGACGGCCCAGCGTGCTTGCCCGGCCACCAAGGCTCCAGATTTCCTCCCCTCTCTGGGCTCCAGGATCTACACGCAGCAGATCTATCTGCCCCTGGTATCTGGTCCCGATACCCTCATCCCACAGAGAGGGACCCCCATGGCACGTGCATTCAACAAGTATTTAGTGAGCACAGACACCCATGCCAGCTACTGCTCTGGGTCAGTGGATCTCTGCCGGAGACAACTGTGTCCCTTGGGGGACAGTGAGCAATGCCTGCAGACACTCTTGATTGTCACTACTGGGGAGCATGGGGGGCTGCTACTGGCCTGTCATGGGTAGAAGCTAATCCTCCTACCATGCACAGGATCCTACGATGTCCCCACAGCAAGGAGATACGGCCCAAATGCCAGCAGTGCTGAAGTGAGAAACCCTGTTCTAGGCCCTGGGGATAAAGCATGAACAAGACGGGCACCTCAGAGGGGGACCCTCAATGTAACATCCACTTTGATCTCACTTTAAACTTCACTTTGTCCAGGAGCTTTCTCTGACTGCCCCTCCCCCACCCCACCCCACCCCCGCCCCAAACCATGTGGCTGAAGGTAAGTGGGGAGGGGGTGCGCCTGCCCTTGCTAGTGCTCTAATAGCACCCCATCTGTCCTTCACTCCCCCTCATTTAATGATCAGTCTCCCTGTAAGTGGTGGGGGAAGCCCCTGTCTGCAGAGCCCAGCGCAGGTCCTGCCTGTAACAGGCACCTGAAAGGGTTTGTTGAATGAGAAAATGAATGAGCTCCCTCCACATTTACCAGGTGACTCCAGAATGTATAAAACTGGGCTCCAAAACCTTTCCTCATGCTGACGATGAGGAGTTAGGCCTAGAGCTTAAGCACACAGACCTTTTGGTCACCTGGTTCAACTCCTGGCTCTAGCTCGTCCTTGCTCTGAAGCCCTGGGCGAGTGGCAGAATCTCTCTGAGCTTTGGCGTCCTCGTCACATTGCTGGCAGGACTGACCTCACAGCGTGGTCGCGAGTCAATGAGACGGCATCTGCACCGCCCAGAGGAAGGCCTGATACAACTCGGCAAAACAGCACAGTGTTCAAAGAGAGGCTCTGGAGAAGGCGAGAGGCAGGACACCTGCAGCCAGGGCACAGCACCTGCTGTCCCCTCCCCCCTGGGGGTCCTGAGACACACCCACACCAGAAGCAAGGTTTGCTGTCACCTTTTGAAATGCTCCAGCAGGCCCTGGCCAGTTTGGCTCAATGGATAGAGCATCAGCCTGCGGACTGACTGAAAGGTCCCAGGTTCGAATCTGATCAAGGGCACATGCCCGGGTTGTGGGCTCGATCCCCAGTAGGGGGTGTGCAGGAGGCAGCCAATCAATGATTCTCTCTCATCATTGATGTTTCTATCTCTCTCTCCCTCTCCCTTCCTCTCTGAAATCAATAACAATATATTTTTTTTAATATATATTTTATTGATTTTTTACAGAGAGGAAGGAGAGGGATAGAGAGTTAGAAACATCGATGAGAGAGAAACATTGACATTGATCAGCTGCCTCCCTGCACACCTCCTACTGGGGATGTGCCCGCAACCAAGGTACATGCCCTTGACCAGAATCGAACCCGGGACCCTTCAGTCCGCAGGCCGACGCTGTATCCACTGAGCCAAACCAGTTAGGGCAATAATATATTTGATAAAATAAAATAAAATGCTCTGGCAGCCAAGGAGTCGCCCCTCACCAGACTAGGAAACCCGGGGAGGGGCAGGGAGGTGACAGAGAGAGCGCCAACTCCCATGCATTTCCCCTTCCTACCTCCCACTCCCAGCCTGGCCGCAGCTCCAAACCCATCCAAGAAAAGCCGGCAGAACAATGCACTTTGCCTGTTCCCAACCAGAGGCCAGAGAATCCTGCTTTATCAACATGAACAAATAAACAGGTCTGTGGGACAGAAAGGTGCCTGAGAGTCCCGAGACAGGGCAGGCACCCCGGGAGAGCGTGCCCGCCCCAGCGGCCCCGGACAGGTCTGTGACACAGGCCCTAGCGCTGTTTCCACCAGAGGCCATGCTGGGAGTGATTCAGCTCTGTGAGCCCTTGGCCCTTGAACAGCTGGCTGCCCTGCCAGTTGGGAGCAGGGATCTCAGGAGGGCCCTGCACACGGGATCCAGGGTGACTGCGGGAATACAGAGCAGCAGATAAGGTCAAGGCCGGCTTGGGAGCCCCGGTGCCAGGTTCTGGGCCAGTTTTGTCTCGGATTTGCCACTCTGTCCTGCTGCTTCTGTCAAAGTCCAGGTCCAACAACAAAACTACCTACTGAGCTCTGGTTGAGCTCTGGTTGCATAGCTTGGCACTGAAGGTCGCTTATTTTTTTTAAAAAAATATATTTTGAGGGACAGAGAGTCAGAAACATCGGTGAGCGAGAAACATTGATTAGCTGCCTCTTGCACACTCCCTACTGGGTATGGTGCCCGCAACCAAGGTACATGCCCTTGACTGGAATCGAACCCGGGACCCTTCAGTCCCCAGGCCGACGCTCTATCCACTGAGCCAAACCGATCAGGGTCTGAGGTCGCTATTGATAAGGAGTTTTATCCCATTTAAAACCTTCCTCCCAGCCCGAGCTGGTCTGGCTCAGTGGATAGAGCGTTGGCCCGTGGACTGAAGGGTTGCAGGTTCGATTCCAGACAAGGGCACCTACCTCAGTTGCAGGCTCCATCCCCCGTGCATGCAGGAGACAACCAATCAATGTGTCAATGTTTCTCTCTCTCTGTGTGTGTCCCCACTCTCTCTAAAAATCAATGGAAAAATATCTTCAAGGTGAGGATTAACCAAAAACAAAACTTTAAAAATAAATAAAAAACAAACAAACAAACCCCAAACCCAGTTATTATCCCATCTGCATTTAAGGAAGCAGAGAGGTGACATATTGGGCCCCAGGTCACACGGCTAAGACCTGGCTGGAACCACACGCTTGTCTGATGCCCAAGGAAGGCACATGGCCACTGGGCTCTCCCAGCTCCCACCACCAGAGGTGGCCATATATGAGACACCAAAGGCAACTTCTGGCCACATCACTCCTCCTCCGCCCCCCCTCCCCCGCCCCATGGGAAGGGGGGTGCCCCTCAGCTGCCCTGGCTAATTCCAGATACTCCTGGTGCCTGATCTGCAGGATGAAGCACCTGGGCCCTGACAGCCCAGCTCGGAGCACCCCAGCCTGGGCAGCGACTGCGGAGTGAGAATCCGATGGCAGGTTCTAGTTCTGGGAGGCCAAGGTCGGGAGGAAGAGCTGGTCTGAATCCGGGCACTTCCCAGCAGTGTGAGTCAGAGCAAGTGCCTCTCACTTCTGAGCCTCAGTTTCCTCATCTGTAGAGTGGGGCTAGCGACCTCGGCCTGCCCTCCATGCCCCCTCGGGCCAGGCCACCCCTGGCTGTTTATTGTGTTCTACCAAGGCAGGCAGAGAGCTGAGGATCTTGAATACAAGGCCTACGTTCATCTTAAAACAGCCCCAAGAGAAAGAAAGCATCGCTTCTACTTTACAGGAGCATTGGACAGTGGAGGACTCTTAGCTGGTGGGAGATTTTTTGGGTTTTGAACTCCCACCTTAGCTGGGCTTTTTCCAATGGGCCAGAAGGACTTGCTTGGAGATTTGGATGGGCGTCTACAGCATAAGGTGGGGAGGTGGGCAGGCGGAGAGTTCTGGACTGATCCCCTGGAACCCCAGCCTTTGAGCATCCACAGTGAGTCCAGAGCCCAGCTAGCCCACCGCCTGCAGAGTGCCCCAGTGCAGGGGTCTGCCCATTCTGGCCAGAGGACACAGGACAAAGGAGGCAGCAGGGTCGCTTGGCTCCAACTCCCGAGCCTGCCCAACTTCTGGGAAAGTAAAGGGACTGCCTTGTGCTCACTCCACAATGATTTTTCAGCTTCCGGGGAGCAAACGTGGGGGTTTTCACGAGGTCCCATATGCCCTCAGAACATTCCACCCATCCACCCCAAGCTGGACCCTCTCCAGGCTCCAGGAAGCAGAAGAAAGTGAAGAGGGCACTGGCCTGGGCGCCTGAGGGCCTGGCTCCACCCCTGGCCAACCACGTGACCTCGGCAGGTCCATAACCTTAGGGGACCTCTGTTTCCTCACCAATAAAAGGGGCACAGAATACCTGTGACCTCAGAATGGAATCGCTGTGGGCAAAGGCGGGAAGGTGCCACAGAGAAGTCAAGCCGAGAACCTACCCAGGTCAGGAGGGGCCGTAAGCCCTCTGGCCTCTGTGCCAGCTCCCGCCCACCCTTCCCCCAGCCCAAGACGCCCTCCTGGAAGCCCACCAAGACTCCTGACCCCACAGAGCTCCAACATCACGCACAGAGCACAGCTTAGCACCTGATTTCATTTGAAATTACTGTGTCAGTTGAGTGCAGACTTCCTGAGACAAAGCCCCTCTATACAGAGCTAGGTCGCTGTCAAGTTCTATTGAAATGGGTTCTTGAAAATCCCAGCTTTCTACACAGCAACGAGGCAAGACCCTGAGAATTTGAGTCTTAGTAATTAAGTCATGGCCCCAGGGCCAGAGAGGCCCAGGTACAAATCCCGGCCATTGCTTAACCTCCCTGTAAGTGTCCTCGTCTGCAGCATGGGGAGGGAGCACCGCAATGCCCAACCACAGGCCCAATGCAGTGAGACTCCGAAGCTGCCGCCCTGCTGACTGTGGACATGGCTGGAGGGGTCTGACGCTGAGAGGTGCAGGGGTGAGGGCACCATCCCCACAGCCCATCCTGAGCCACCCTGAGCCCCCTTGGTGAGGATCCACCGGGAGACTCTAGGGCAGGGGTGGGCAACCCCTGGCACGAGTGCCAAACATGGCACGCCAGTAACTTTTGCTGGCACGCAAAACCCTCTCTTACAATCTTCCATTTACCATTTTTTTCTTAATATCAACTTTTTTATTTTTCAGATAAATTCAGTAGGTGCATCTTAGATAAATAAATAATTTTACATAACAAGTTATCTTAAAGACCATAGACATGGATTGACCAGAGAGGGGAAGAGCAATTTCTATGCTTCTGCCTTAACTCTCCCTGCCTTCCTAGATCCGACCAGTGTTTTAGTTTCATCCACATACGCTTGTGAATCTTTGTCCTCGGTGATGAATTTTGTTAAGTCTAGTAATAGGAGTAGCCTGACGGATGAAAGTAGTAGCTCGTGCATATCTCTGAAGGTCACGAAATATAAACCTGATGTAAAATCTGTCATCAGTGATGCAGCAGCAAAAGTCCCACTGATAATATCAAACGGAGTCATAAAGTTTTCTGTCGGACTATCAGTGTACATGTATACATTAAAAAAAATGTATTTTTCATTATCATATACTGTGTTTTTGTCGCTCGAATGAATTTTATCATTTCTTCAAGCTTCTTCACATACGTACACCTTAAGAGATATCAAGTAGGCGTAACATGTTCTCAAAAAATTAGGGTTGGCTCGCAGAAGAATTTTGAGTCAGAGATTTCGCTGGTTTTGGCACGCACTCACAAAAAGGTTGCCCACCCCTGCTCTAGGGGCAGCAGAGGAGGGGACCCAGGCCCCACCTGTGTGGCACCTCCTTCATGAAAAGGCACCTCAGCAAGTCCTGAGGGCTCGTCACGGATGCCTCAGGCCTCCGCCTGCCATTCCTCGCCAAGCTGAGGGCTTCCTGCTTCCAGGGGGCACCGGCGATCGGCACACATGCCAGATGCCCCAAGGGTAAGCAAAGTCTGTGAGCCAGAAGGTTCCGCCCCTCCTCTCACCCACCACAAGGCCAGGCTTCCCCTGCCAGCCCCTCCCACCTGGTCCTGGAGCAGCCCTGCACATGGGCCAGGCCCAGCTGCGCACACATGGCCTTCACATGAGGCGCAGGGAGGGCCCGGTGCAGCTGGGCTGGTGGCATGTGCTGAGGCCTGACCATCTGCCCCGCACACCCACCATCTTGGCCTCGCTGTCACGCACCCCCCGGACCAGAGGGCCTGGCCCCCACCTGCAGGGCTATGGCTAAGCAGCCAGTCCCGCATGCTCCCTTCCTGGTGGACAAAACAGGATGGCTTCCATGTGCTGAGGGTGGACAGCTCTCAGGCATTCCACAGACTGAGGAGCAGAGCTGTCAAGAGCCTGGGCACGGGAGTGACTCACTGACACCGATTCGAGGCAGGCTCTGCAAGGACGGTGGTACAAGCTATGCAGGCTGCGGTTGCACCATGCCAAGGAGGCACCAGCACACTGGAGTCTAGTGAATGGCATGCCAAGGAGACATGCAGTGCAAACCCTGTGAGGCTTCCCTCACCTGGCATAAACTCCCTGAACCTCAGTCCCACCACCTCTAATACAGTTTCTTCGCACTGAAAGAGGAGGCCAGAGGGAGAGAAAGGGCCCCGAACTGGCAGTCAAAGGACCTAAGTGCCAGCCCTGCCCTGCTACCCACCAGCTGCGCTGCTCTGGGCATGTGGCCTCCCCAGTCTGGGAAGCAAGGTGAGCAGGTGGACAGCCTCCTGTCATCCTTCCGTCCTGAGGGGTGGGTTGCAGGACTCCATAGGCTGCCGCCCTCCTGAGGCATTCAGATGCAGGCTACTGGTTGAGGGTAGGACTGAATGCTCCACTGGGCCCACTGCCCAGGGTCCCAACTGGCATGTGGCTCAGCCTGGTCTGTGTCAGCTACTTGACCCCCCACCCCCACCCCAATTCACTGAGCAAACAAACATCTTAACCCAAATCCGTGGGTGGCACTTTGGCTGAACAGTCATGGGGCTTTTCCCCCAGCAGTTCAATTCCCTTCCCATGGATGGACACAGGCACCACTGCCCGCCCCACCCACAGAGGGAAGAGCAGAGTGTGATCCAACAAGAAGATCATGCTTTCTTAACTGTTTTGTTGCTGGCGAAAGCCCAGAGAGGTTGAGTAACTTCCCTGGAGTCACACAGGAAGTCAGCTGCTGAGCAAGAAAAAAACCTGACTACTCAAACCAGTAACACCCACCCCTACCCTTCTCCATTCCCTGTGCAGGTGGGAGCAGGGGGCCCTAACCACCTCTTCTCGGATCTCCCTTCTCTCTAAGAAGATGAGAAGCCTAGAACCAGAGGGTAATCTTGTCTAAAGTGGGATTGTAAAAGTGCCCTTCCCCGCCCATCCGCCGCAAAAGACACTGTGGGGTGAGAGCTACCCCCACCAGCCCCAAACTGAGAAGCCCCTGTCCTACCCCACAACTGCCTGCATCACCGGAGAATGGAGGGCAGCGGTGGAGGGGATCCCCTGGGAAGGCTCTCACCAGCCAGCTCTTGAGGCCGCCCCTGGGGAGAGGGAGCAGGCTTGTAGCCGGCGGCATTCAGGACGCGAGGGCAAGGGGTGCAGAGCCCGAAAGCAACCTGAGTGCAGGGGCAGCCCTCCTGGGAGATGGGGGCTGAGGAGGGAAACGGGACCCTGCTATTCCCGCAACCCCAGGACCTCCCTTCTCGGCGTTCTGGGCCTCCCGGGCAGTCACGCACCCACTCCGGCAATCTTCCCCGACCATCTCAAAAGCCCGAAGCGGTCTTCTCCCCTTCCCCGGCCGAGACACATTCCCACATCCCCCCTTTCCACTCCCCACCGCTCCCAAGGAACTCGGGAGACAAATACTCGCGGTCATAAAAGTTAACTACGAGTGCCCAAGTCTGACGCGCAGACAGGGTCACCCCGCGGGGAGGGGCGGGGCGGGGCGCGGACGACCAGAGCACGCCGCAGGGGGACCTTCACCCCCACTTTGCAAACTAAGAAACGTACCAAGGCTGCAGCAAAGGTCACTACTCCAGGAGGACCCAAACCTGTCTGGGTCCTGGGGCCCACCGGGCGGGGACGACTTGCCCCTCACAAACACCCCTAACCCTCCACAAGTCCCCCGGGCACTCGCCCACCCGCTCGGGCGCTCTTCCCCGGGCGCAGGGAGAATGTGCGGCTGGGAGCCGGTACCTGCTTCCGCAGCGCCTCGAAGGCTGCGCTGATGGTGTGCACCCGCGTCCGCTCCCGGGCGTTCGCCAGGAGCCTCCGGGTCTGCTGCAGGGCTTTGATCTCCGAGGAGGCGGCCGTGGCTTCGCCGGGCCGTTTCCTAGGCGACGCGGAGGAATCCGGATGGTTATTGTAAATTACGTGTGAAATTGACGAGTAGGAACTTTCCCCGGGGCGCGTGGGGGGCGCAGGGCGCACGGAGGTCTCCGGGGGCGCAGGGGGCGCGGAAGGCATTGGGCGGGCAGGCGGTGCGCACAGCAAGATGCGGGGACGCAGGCCGGGTTCCCGGAAAGGCTGGACCTCCGGACCCCCAGGTACCTGGCCCTGGGGTGCTGGAAGCGGCGGCGGCGGCGGCGTGGGGAGTCCTGGACCCACAGCGCCCAGGGAGAAGCCGCGTTTCCGCGCGTCCAAGACCTCTGGCGCCCGGGCGCCCCCGCGCTCCCCAGCAGTGTCCGGGCCTCCACCTGAGGGGACGGCCGGCGCCACTGCGGCTGGCACCGGGGTCGGGACCGGCTGCAGCCGCTGGGTCCTGTCCCGCAGCCCGTTGGTGGCCGCGGCGCCTAGCTCGGGCACGTCCAAGTCCAGTCGGAAAGTTTTATAGCCATTCGCGCGCCGCGCCGGCTCCTTGCCTTTCCGCTTGAGCTTCTTGAGGCCGTTCAGCTCCTTCACGCACACGGTCTTCCACGGCCCGTCCTCGAGAACGGGGATGTGCTTCATGGCGCGGGCAGCGCGCGAGGCGGAGGCGTGGGGCTGCCCGGGACGCGCGCCCGCCGCGCTCGCTCTGCACGCGGCGCCCGGCTCTGCCCGGTGGCCGTCGCTCTCGGCGCCTCGGAGGCTCGCGCTCTCCCCTGCGCTCACCCCCTCCCTCCCGCCCGCCCGGCCGCCCGCCCTCTCTCCTCTCTCCTCTCTCCCCCGCGCGCGCCCCACATGGGCCGCCGGCTCCGCGAAGCT